GTCAGAGAGGAGCCATGAGAATGATTAAAGGACTAGAAAACCTGCCTTATAGTGATAGACTCAAGGAGCTCGATCTATTTAGCTTAACAAAGAGAAGGGAAGGGTGACTTGATCACAGTCTATAAGTATCTACACGGGGAACAAATATCTAATAGCGGGTGCTTCGGTCTAGCAGAGAAAGATCTAACACAATCCAATGGAGGTCAGACTCCCTGGCACAGTAGTCCCTTCTGGCCTTGAAATCTGTGAATCATCCCCAGTAGTAAAATCCCTACAAGGTCAAATTAGATCCTCAGGCACTGCAAGGCCCGGGTCTGCTGACTTGAGCCACGGGGCAATACAATTACGGTGTAGATGCTTGAGCTGGGGCCTGGGCTAGGGGGGAGGACCCTGCCTTGTGTGAGTTTGCACAGATGGAACCGATTGAAACTCCAGTTTTGCTGATGTACGTGGAGGATCTGGCTCCAGCCTCCTCTCCTGTAACTGGGCTGGCTCTGGAGGGCTAACGGGGTCAAAAGCAGCACAGACTTATTTCAGGGTCTGATTTGCTCCCATGCAATTCAATGGAAACCCTCCCTTGGTTTCAGTGGAGCACGATCATGTCCACAGTCACTAAGGTCAGCAGATAAAACGTTTACTAGGTTTAAGCCTTACGTGCTTTCCTGAATCTGGGCATGAATTGGTGTGTAGCTAAGCTCGGTAGGTGCAGAAGGAAACCACGGCTTCAGGCTCCAGGCCTCCAGATACTTGCAGGGAGGCATAACTTTGCTCAGCTGAGTCGTCCCATGGATTCCAAAGTTAAGCGCATCCATAAATGTTTGCAGGATTGGTGCCTTAGACACGAACACGTTTCTTCTTCATCCTAACCAGTAACTTCTAACAGCACCCAAAATTGACCCAGAAACAAAGAAATGAAGCTGTTCAGCTCCCAAATTGCTCCTCTCAAAGGCAAACTCTCGTGTGTTTCCTTCGCCAAACCTGGGAGTGTTAGATCTGCTGATCTAGGGCACGGACTCTCGCCTGGTTTTTAGTCTGATTCCAATCAGTCCTGGAGTGAAACACAACCCAGCCTATCTGCCATCTCTCTCTTCACTGCCTGGCTGGCTCCAGTGGTGTTTTAGCCCCAGACAAACGGCCTCTTCTGTTGACAAAAGTGGGTCAGACTACACTTTGAAACTGTCTCCCAATAATAAAACCAGGTAAAACAATGAGCGTTCTCTACCTCTGATCTCTCTTCCAGACCCAATACTTGGTAGTTCAAAGTTCTGTATTTATTTTCCAGAGCCTGCAATGTAAAGAAATATTATCTGGTCTGGCAGTGTTACAGGGCGGTAGGGATTTTATATCTGATCTGGATCCTTAGTAAGAGATAAATTATTATTAGTGTTCATTATCTGTACTCTGGTCTCTCTTCAGAGCCTGGTCATGGACCAGGTCCCCACTGAGCTCGGTGCTCTACAAACACAATAAAAACAGTCCACGTTCTGTGCAGTTTATTCGAAGGGGAACTCCTGGGTTTTTCTGCCAAATGTTGCACAGACAAGAACCCAGAGAAGTCTGGGCTAGTGCATAAGGCATTGGACTGAGACGTAGTTAATAGAGCTGGGTTCCCTTCCGGGCTCTACCCATCTCCCTAACCTTGGGGAGTCCCTCTGCCGTCTCTGTACCTCACTTTCCCACCTGTCAAATGGGGATCAGGCCACACCAAAGGTCTCTGATGCAGTGATGTCTGCCAGGATCTGCTGAGAGCCTGAACTGCCCCCTCAGTGGTGTGGGGAGTTAACCCAGATGCCCCATGATGCTCATTTGAATGGCAGCATTGTTAACTATTTCATTGCATGTAAGGAAGAAGAGGGAGGGTTACAGATCTGCATGGTCTCCTTTGGTGCCACTAGTGGGTGGTGTTTGGGAGATACAACCACTTCTTGTCGCCCCACCCCATTCATGGAACTGAAAACCAGAGGGGGAGAGCCAAGCCCTGGGGGTATTTGAGCTTCGCCAAAGGCAAGTCCTTTGAGCCCAGTGGGCCATACCACTACCACCCGCTCTCCCAGGCAGCCAGCCTCTCTGCCCCAGAGCAACAAAGGCCAAGTCTGCTCTGTTGGTGGGTGTGGGACCAACAGCTTCCTCCCTGACACTAATGGCTGCTGATCCATCCTCTGCTGCAGGCTCAGGCAGACATTGTTGCATTGGTTACACTCAGGTTGCATTTTTGAGCTTTCCTTCGCAATGATGAAGGCCACAAACATTTTACTTTAACGAAAGCTGCAATTGCCATCCTCACATCTGGGAGCCAGGGCTCTGGGCCCATGCCTCCATTGTGCCTAGGCCTCAATTCAGCCTCACAGGGCGGGGGAGTGTGAATCTGAACCCCATGGAGGGTGAGCTGAGCCTGCACAGACATACTGTGAACATCTGCGCCATCTGCTGCCAGTGAGGTTTCACTTTGGCCTGTCAAGAGGGCAGAGCTTGGCAGCGTACCCCTGCTTATCTTTCTCCCCAATTCGAGCTGGAATGGGGATCAAACCTCTCCCTTGCCTCATAGGGTGGCTGTGAGGATAAACAAATTGAAGACTACGACACCCCAACCACAGGGGCCATGCTGGCATAGGGTGACCAGATGAGGGAAACAAAATATCGGGACACATGGGGGGAGGGTGTGCAAAAAAAAAAAAAAAACTGAGTCAGTCCCGCCGGTGGAGCAAAAAAAAAATCTGCTGCCGGCAGCTATCGGGACGTCTGGTCACCCTATGCGGGCAGACAGATTTCCTTCTGTTTCCAGGACTAACTAACATTGGCAGTACAGCCATGAAAAATGGGTGAACATTTGGCTGGAAGTTGATGGCGCTGAGCATCTTGGGAGGACGCTGCTTTCCTGCAAAACAGCTGAGCCGAAAAAAGATTCCCTGCCCCAGATCACTGTGTGTGGTAAGATTGGACGTGGAGCCGTCCCCCTCACAGACTCCCCTGGAGCGGCCCTGATTTATGCCGTCTGGGATCTGCTCCATCTTTTCTTGCTGCAGCCTGCTCCAGCCCCTTCGCCATGCTGCGGCTGTTCTGAGCCTTCCCTGTTGCTTCCCTCCCCTGTGCTGGCCCTGGCCCCCACACCAGAGATAGCTCAGTGGTTTGGCTCCCTGGGCCATGGAGAAACCTCATTCACCCTCTCCTTCTGGCAGCTCAGCACTCCCCTTCCAGGCTAGCCAAAGGCTGCAGCTAACGCTGTCCACTCCCCCTACTGCTCTGCCCACTGGCACCTGCCCTCCTCTGGGTTCCTGTCTCTTTCCATATCACATTCAGCCTCTTGCAAGCCTCCTTCCCCCTCTGCTTTCCTTTCCCGTCCTCCCATCCCTGCCACTGCCTGTCTCTTTAGCCATCTTAGTCCTGCCTCCATGTGTGACTCAGCCTTTGCTCACCCTTCCTCCTAATCTTGCAACACCCTCCCGATTCCAGGGCATCAAGACAACCCTCTTTCCCTCCCCCAGTCTGCCCCTGCCCTCTGCTCCCACGCTGACCTACAGGAAAGAGTGGTAAGACAAGGACACAGTGAACCCCTGGGGCCGTCTTTCCCCTGGAAGTGGTGTCGTGCTGTCCCCATGGTTTCTGCTCTGTTCACTGCAGTGCTGTGTGGATAAGCTTGGAGCAAGGACCCTGTCTCCTTACCTGTCTCTAAGGTGTCACACACAATCATGGTGCTATACAAATCCTAGCGACGCCATCCGGCCGGGGGCAGTGCTGCATGGCAGTGACCTAGCTCCTACTGCTGCAAACGCTGGCTCCTTGATCTGCTCTGCACAGCATCCCGTGCACACTGGCTGGGTTCTCCCCGGACTCCCTGCTGCGTGGATGCATATGGTGGCTTCTTGTTGTCAGGATGCTATACCACAGGCCCAGGAGACCAGGGCTTGCTCCCACCTGCATAAAGAGGAACCACCAACACAGTTGTTCCTCCAGCTCCTCCTTCTGGCACCTTTTCAGCTGCATGGCCTAGCGAGTCCCAAAGTCCAGGACTGCAGGGGTCCGTCCAATCCCTCCCCACATGATAGCACAAGTAACTCCACCAGACCAATGTTACCCGTCTCCTGCAGGAGGAAGACGAGGGTTCTAGGTTCCATTCCTGGCTCTTCCAGCCTCTTGGGGGAATCGTTTCAGCTCGGTGTGCCTCAGTTTCCCCATATGTGGAATGAACTGTGAGCTCTGTTAGTGTGGGGGGGAGGGTGGAAGGTGCTAAACAAAGTGGCTCTGCTAACTCTGGCTAGCTGTGGTAGAGGAGGAGTCTTTGAACCTGAGCCGGCTCCCAGGCTTCTAAAAGAATCAAACAGGGCTTGCCAGAGCAGGGATCCGTAAAGACCAGTATCCTGGCTCTGATCATGTTTGGCTTTAATCGCTTGGGGCCTCAGTTCCCCATGTGCAACATGGCGATGATAGCCCTGCCCTGCTCCCTGGCGTGTATTGAATGTTTGTGAAGCTCTCAGGCCCTGCAGGGGTGTCCCAGAGCAGCCTGAGAGGCAGTGACTAGCCTGGCTTCAGAGCAGGGTTTGGATGGCAGGTATAAGTAATGCCGGCCCATGCACTGGAGCAGGACAAAAAGAAATGTTGGAAAGCTGCCATATTCAGCGAGCCCCAGGCATCCTGTGCCCCGAATGAGGCAGGGGTCCTGTGGGAAAAACAGCATATAACACACACACACACACTGCAGGACCGGAGCTCAGTGAGCGCTGTACATGTATCACAGGCAGGTAACCAATGGCTAGTTAATCCCCATATAATTACAATTAAACCCATTTGTCCATCTGAGCCCGTAATTCTGCTGGTGAGACGCAGGCTCCTCCAGCCGCTCTCCCATGCTGTTCTTGGGTGTTTCCCACGATCATGGGCCGAGATCAGCCACACCCTGAGCACTGCATGACCAGCTGTGGGCCGGAGCAGTGCCTGGGCTGCTGCCCACAACCCTCCAATCTCAGCCGTGCCCCACGCGTCCATGGGCCCCAATTCCTTTCCATTCACGAGCTCACGGCGTCCAGCTTCACCTTCCCAGGCAGTGGCCACACGCGCTCTGGAAAGGGGGAGAGGGGAAAGAGACCATCAGAACACCAGCGAGAAGCTGGAGATTCGATTGGGGAACTGTTGCTGGCTTCATTTTTCGTGCATGGAAAAGGAGGGCTGGTCGAGTGGCGGAGGCCCTGGACTGGGACACAGGAGAGCTAGCCTCAGTTCCCGGCTCTGCCAGGACCCCTGGGTGCGTCACGTAGGCACGGATCCCCAAAGGGCACCTATCTCCAACTGAAATCAATGGGAGCATGGTGCCGAAATCCCGCTCTGTGCCTCGGCTGCCCGTTTGCCCAGGAGAGAGAACAGCCCTGCCCTGCCCAGGGCCGGCTCTACTGTTTTTGCCGCCCCAAGCAGCGTGCCGAATTGCCGCCCCGGACAGCGGGGGCAGTCCGTGTGCCGTTAGGGCGGCACGCGCGTTTCCGCCGCGGCGGCAATTCGGCAGCAGCTTCAGCCAGAAGACAGAAGCTGCTGCCGAATTGCCACTGCGGGCAGCTGAACATAGAAGCCGCCGCCGAATTGCCACCACCGCAGAAACGTGTGTGCCGCCCTAACGGCACACAGACTGCCCCCGCCGTCCGCAGCGGCAATTCGGCGCGCTGCTTAGGGGCAAAAACACACAGACTGCCGCCCCTTGCAGATTGCCGCCCCAAGCACCTGCTTGGAAGGCTGGTGCCTGCCCTGGCCCTGCCTCACACTCCTTAGTGTCTGCAAGGGCCTCAGGCACCAGGTGAGGGGAGCCACGGAAGAACCTCGCTGGACGCAATTCTCCGCCGCTCTCAGGCATGGTGGAGATTAGGAACAAGGCAATCCTAGTAAGGAACAGGAGAGCCGATTGCAGGGATCGAAGGCTCTGCTTGGTTTCCATTAAAGGGGGTGGGGGATGGCTGGCCACTCTGCCCACACAACGGGAGCAGCATGGCCAGGAGCAAATCACCCCACGTGCCATCCCCTCTTGTCTCCTCCTGGTTCAGAGGCGTTGCCTCTAGGCAAGGGCCCCTGGGGCCCTGGCCAATTTGGGGGCCCCCAGGTCTGGGGGGCCCAAATGTTCTTTGTGCCCAGTGCTCTGGTAAATCTTAATCCACCTCCGCCTCTAGGGACAAGCGGGAGATTCAGGCTCCGTGGCCCAGTCGGCCCTTGGCCTCTGCTGATACTGCAACCCAGGGCTATTGTACTGGAGCTATTCATGCGCTGGGGATGGGGCAGAGATCCCTGGCCCATCGCACCCACCAGACGGCAGCAGCTTGCCCCATGCCTGAGCCAAAGGGATGGCTCTGGGGCAGACGCCCTCTCGGCTGGTCTCCGTTGGTGTCTCCTGACTCTGGCGGTTTGGTTTGGAGGCTGAAGAGTTTCAGGAGCCCCATGCCTGAGTCCTAAACCTAGTTGCTCACTGGACTCCGTGAACCCAAGGCACCAGAACCAGAGCTTTCCGGGTGGCTCCGGCTGCAGCCATTCACCTGCATTTCTAGGGTGCTGTGCTCCGTTTGGAGGGCAGCGTGGACGTTCCCCCGCTTCCCATCCAGCTCTGCCCCTCCCTGGCTGAGAAGCGACGGGCTGGCCCTGCCCGCTTGCTGTGGTCAGTGCAAACATATGCAGCTTTGTCCCGGCAGCACAGAGAGGAGGCTGGGAAACGAAGCCAGACTTCAGGGAGGAGGGCACAAACACCCCTCTCCCAAGCCATGGGTAGGCTGGGGGCTGCTGGAGCCATGGGGACAGGACAGGGCCTGAGGATGCACTTGGGGCTCTCCCTTGACTCCAGTGTGTCTTGGATTAGGCCCTTAATCTGTATAAACCATGGTGGGTTGCAGCTGCCCTCTCGCTAATGGGCTGGCAGGAGAGTCTGGTTGTGAGAGCCAGGGACAGGGCTCAGGGACCTGGGTTCTCCCCACCCCCCACCCCACCCCACCGTGGCACTGGTTCTGTGGGGGACCTGGGCAAGTGAGTTACCTGCTTTGTGCCTCAGTTTCCCCATTGCTACAATGGGGGTGACAGAGAGGCTTGATTAGTGTTTGTAATATGCTCTGGAAATAGGCGTGGAAGGGTTGAGTGCACCGCTCAGTGTCGGTAATTGCTGATTTCTTCCTTCACCCCCAGGCCACGATTCTCTCGTTTATAGGGCGGTAGCGCCTAGGCCCTGCCCAGTGGGCCAGGTGCTGCACACACACACAGTAAGAGACAATTCTCTGCCCCAACAAGCTTAATGGAGTTAGGTGCTCGCCCTTGTGGCAATCCAGTGGAATCTCAGTGCCTAAGGTCCATGGGCTCATTTGAAAACCATGAAATCTAGCAAGGGGTTAGTAGTTCGGGTGAAGAATTCACTATCCCGTGAGTTTTGCACTGAAATGTTTAAGAAACTGATCTTCTGGAACACAAGTCAGGAACGATAGCCATATTCCTGCTTCCCACCTTCTGCAGCTGTTCCTGACCACGTCAATCACAATTAGGATGGGCAGGATTTCTTTTTCATTTCTTGCTGGTGCAAAAAAGGTAATTACACAAACTTGGAACTAGCTGTTGAGATTAGCTGCTTGCAACTCGCTAAATAACACCAGACTCTGTAAAGTAGAATTGCTGCATCTCAGGAGAGTAAGCAGCAGACACCGAGCTGTGGTAATGGTGCATTTCAGACATTGGTTGATACAAGAAGAAAAAACATTGGTTTTGCTTTGAGGCACATGACCGCACAGTCCCATGAACCTTTGATCACTGCAGAACTGGAGGCAGCCAGCATTTAAGCAGCCATTGGCAGGGCAGGAGATGGAATGTGTGCATGTGAAACTCTCAACTGGGTGAAATGAGCTGTTAGCGTGACCGAAAGGGCTGGGGTTCTACAGTGTTTGTTAGGCGAGGTGGGTTTTACTTCAGCCGAGGATCTACCTACAGCTACAGGGCAGGGCAGCCTGTGCCTCTGCATGAGCATGCACTGAGAAGCATCATGCAAAGCCCAACATGCATGTCCCAGTGAACAGCTTACTGTACCTTTGGGTTGCAAAGAAACTTACACAGCATACGGGTTGTCACTTCCAAACACGTGCCCTTTAAGCAAAAGGAACTAGATGTAATCACGGCTTGGACTCTGCTTTCAAGCCCACCCCTTCTAGGTTTCTCCTTGGTTATCACATGCTGGTTACGGATGCAGAAAACTTGCCTTTTTTGGAACATGAACTGCTGTGAACCTCCTCACAGCAGTGCCCCTTCAGCTTTGAGGGAACAACACTTTATTTCCCATCAGTCCCGTGCTCCTTCCCCGCTGCTCCCAAACCCAGGACCAGAACGTTTGTCTCTGAGCTATAAGCTATAAGTCCTGTGTCCAGTTCTGGTGCCCATAATTCAGGAGGGATGTTGTTAAATTGGAGAGGGCTCAGAGAAGAGCCACAAGAATGATTAAAGGATTAGAAAACCTGCCTTATAGTGAGAGACTCAAGGAGCTCGATCTAGTTAATTTAACAGAGAGAAGGTTAAGGGGTGACTTGATCACAGTCTATAAAAATCTGCAGGGGTAGCAAGTATTTAATACTGGGCTCTTCAATCCAGCAGAGAAAGGTCTGGCGCGATCCAACAGCTGGAAGTTGAAGCTAGACAAATTGAGGCTGGAAATAAGGTGTAAAGTTTTACCAGTGAAGGTAATTAACCACTGGGACAATTTACCCCGGGGCGTAGTGGATTCTCCGTCCCTGACCATGTTGAAATCCGGATTGGCTGATTGTTTCTAAAAGCTCTGCTCTAGTTCAAACAGGAATTAATTCAGGGGCGTTCTCTGACCTGCGTTATACGGGGGGTCAGACGACATAATCACGCTGGTTCCTTCTGGCCGTGGAATCTATGAAAAAACGGGCCCAGCTTCTCCTCTGCCTTCCAGAGCGTGACATAGGAACAGCATTGATGTGACAGGAACGGCTCCTGATTTACACCAGTGTAAGTGAGCAGGATCTGGCCCAATGCCCCAACCGATGGAAATGTTCCAGTCCAAACTGCACACCGGCCTCGATCCTAACAGCGCGGCCCCAGCCACACCCCAGCTGCCCAGACGCCCCAATGACGGTGAGCGGCGGCCCCTCTCCCGCTGAAGAGCTGGGCCCATTATGCATCAGCTTCCTCCTTTCCTCCCTTATGCGGGAGGTACAAAACCCATCCCCCAGCCAGTCAGACTCTGTGCATTTCTGCATAGGGGACAATGTCCCTGTACTCTCTCCGGGTGCCCCAGGGCACTGGCCAAGTTACCGCCCTAGTCGCCGGGCATGCTTGACTCACCCTGGACAAAGGAGGGCTGCAGCAGTGCCCGTGAATGGGAAAGGCACAGAACCGGGCGTGGGAGGCGTTATTTAGCAGAGGAAAGGGGCGGGCGGGAATGAATCTGAGGCAAGGCCGATTTACGCTGAACAGCAGAGAAAGTTTCCTAGCTATTACGCCCCTGTGGAGCAGCCTCCTCTGGGCGGGGTGGATTGTCCAGGCCGGCCCCGGCACTGGACGACAGAACGCTGGAAGGGCCTGGCCAGTGGCTGGGGATCGGAGGCACTTGAGCAATACAAATACTAACACTCCTGCCCGGGGTGAGGAGAGGCCTTCTTGGGCCTCGTTACCAGCTCTCCCTGGCAGATCTGAGCTCCGTTCTGCCTGTACACGCAGCACTCCCCAGGGGAGAGCCCACGGCTCAGGCATGCCCTTGGCTGCTGTTCTCCCAAGCAGCTGCCTCGGGAACGGGCTCTCTCCGGGATCAAGCAGCAGAGTCTGCATGCGGGGTGTGATCATGCCTGGGTCCCCGCGCCAGCGCCCACTGAAGCCTTCGCGCTTGACCCCCTCTCGTGGAAGCATCAGGAAACACATCGGAGGGAGGGACTCGGGAAGCTCCAACTCATCAGCTGGTGCCAGAGAGCTGCTGCCCAAAATGCAGCGAGGTGAGTTGCCCAGCACCCCTCGCCCTGCTGTGCTGCACAGACACGTGGTGAGAGACAGATCCCGCCCTGGCCAGCTTACGAGCTAGCTCTGTGCCGCTGATCCGCCTGCCCAGAAGAAATCCCAGCTCCATCCCTGGGCTCGGCGCATCAGCTCGTGCAGCGCTTTGGGTTTGCACTATGGCAGTGAGCGGCCAGGCTGCGTGTGGTGTCATCTCCGTTTAGCACCGGTGGAAGGTGCAAGCTCAGCAGGCCTGGAGCCCAAGAGGCTAATTCCTGCTTGCATTGGCCCGCTCTGGAGCCAATGGCAAGTAGCTGCAAAGCATCCCCAAGGCTCCCCTGGCACACGGCATACCTCTAGCTTAGCAGCGGGGGTGCTGAGCCAGTATAGCCTATAGGAGCCCCCAGCCCCACGTGGCATGTGCAGGCAGGAGCGGGCATGGCCAGGGTGGTCCTCTGCCCCAAATATCTCCTAGGGTGGGGATGGGCATGGCAGAGCCTCAAAGGCGAAGGGCATTTCAGTGCCCAGTTCCTACTTGCAGCTTTGACCAGTTCCCTGTGGTAGTGCAATGGCCCAAAATAGAGCAGCCCTCGCCGCTGCTCTATCCCGCACCAGGGACCGAACCAACTGAGGAGGCACAAGTTCCCGCCTTACAGTCCCTGCGCCAGGCTGGGAGCTGGGACAGAGAGGAATCCCGGCAAGTCCCAGCCCAGGCAGCGGCTGCGCAGCCCTCAGCCCCCGCTGCCCTGCGATGGCTTGGACCCTGCAGCCCAGGAGGAAGGAAAGCTGCTCTGTCACCTGGCGGGGAGTGGGCAACAGAACTAAGACCAGCTGGCACTAAGGCCAGTAGGCCAATGCTCTGTAAAAGACACTAGCGAACTTGGGAGAGAGAAAGATCACGATGAAACCTACAGTGCAAGCAATTCTCTCTGCCCCTTGCAGTGGAAATCTGTCACTGGCCTTCAGCAGTCCCTGTCCCTGCTGCATCCAAGTGCCGAGGCAGAGATTAACAAACTCTGGAGCAGAGCTCATAGGGCTGTTTTCATCCCCACGGAGGCTGGTTTGCTGGTTCTAATTTCCCTACATCCAGGAGACATTCACAGCCACAACGCTGCTGGCGGAGAACAAGCTTTGAGCCCTTGGACACAAGTTGTGCATCCCCGCACCGTGCACACAGCCCGCAGCACGCAGGAACATACCTGAGTCCATGACGACGTTCAAGGGGGAATCGTAGGCCTGCAGGAACTGCGCAGGGCTCAGGAGCTCCTGGCACTCCAGGAGGTGGCAGATGGTGTCCTGGGGAACAATTAAGTTGGGGACCTCCTCCAGAACAGCATCAGGGAGGTTTGGGGGGCTCTGGAAATCAGAAGAGGCGAGAAAGCCCTCAGCCACTCAATGCCAGAGGAAAATCGCGCCTGCCACAGCCAGCGGGAGAACTCGACTGACCGTTCCGCCGCCCACCGAGCGTGCCCACCTGTGGTGAGCCGGGCCGCTCCTGCTCTAGACGATGGAATTGAAAGTAGCTAGACAGGTCAGCGAGGACCTATAATTCCAAAGGCAGCACCACCCTGTATGTGGGGGCATCCCAAAGATTTGGCTAGAGATGGGGTGTGACAGACCCCCCCAAGCTGCCCATCTGCATTAGGGGTCACTAGCAGTGCCTCCTGGGCCTTACCTTGGGGTATTTCAGCAGGTGCGTCCCCAGTTTCAGGAGCATCGCCAGGCACTCACCAGTGATGGTCTCAATTGGCTCCTCGCGCGAGGTGTCGTAGCCCAGGTGCCTGCTGGGCACAGCCAGCACCTTGTAGCTCCACTGCTGGAAGAGCCGGGAGGGAATGTTGTGGGACAGCACCAGGATCTTGGGCTCTAGAACAAGGGCCCTGGGACAGGCCAGGGCAGTGGATCAGGTCCCTCTCACAGCAAGAGAGGGGTCTGTCACCCCCTGGGGTTAACAGGAGGGTCGCTACCTGCCTACTGAGGCCTTGTTACATGCAAAGATGGTGCCACGCTAGCCTGGCATTGCTAAATCAGTACCACCCCCTGGTGTGGACACATTAGGCTGGTAAGAAGGTGCTCACATTAGTACAGCTCTTCCCCTGCATTTAGACTGTGCCTGGCTTTCAGCCAAAGATTTTGTTGTTTCAGCAAAAAGTGGACTTTTTGTTTTTTAACTTTTTGTCTAAATTTTCCACAGCTACAAAACCTTTTTCCAACCAGCTCTAAAGCAACACCTGGCAGCAGGTAGGAACACCTCTGTTACCCCTTTTAATCTGCAGGGGGAGACAGAGACCTCAATAAGCAAATTAACCTGGTGGCAGGTTGGTGCAGACCCTCCAATTTCCCCTTTCCCCTATAGAGGGCGCCAGAGAGTGTCTTTTCCCAGCCAGTGTCTGAGCCGTGGGGCTCCCGTCTTCCCCTCAGCTGGAAGCTGGCAGCCTCTGCCCGGAGCCATGCTTCCCACCGGGGTGCACCGTGCCACAGAGCTGTGGCTGCAGCTCCCTCTCCTGGCTGTACCCGGTAAAGCTGTACAGAGATTCAGAGATTCCAAGGCCGAACGGGACCATGGTGATGATCTAGCCTGACCTCCTGTACGACCCAGGCCAGAGAAACGCACCCCCACCCCCCAAATTCATAGAGCAGATCTTACAGGAAAACATCCACTCTTGATTTGAAAACTTGCCAGTGAGGGACAATCCACCATGGCCCTTGGTAAATTGTCCCAGTAATTACACCCCCTGTTAAAAACTGATCCCTTATTCCCAGTCTGAATTTGCCTAGCTTCAATTTCCAGTCCCTGGCTCTTGTAATATCGGATTAGTCGGCTACTGCCTCCCAGCCAATCGCAGCAGAGGTGTGTGCTTTTAGATCCCGAGGTTCCCAGGTTTGATCCCCGCATGCAGCCCAACTGCCATCGTCCTCGCTCATGTGCACGCTGGGGTTTGGTGAAAGACGCTGAACTGCGGCAGCTGAAAACCCTCCAGCCACTGGCTGGCCAGCCCTCACCTGTGCTGCTGGGGCTGCATGTCTCGCAGGTCCCTCAGGATGGAGTAAAGCACCTCGCTGGAGGCCTGAAAGAAGAGCAACTGCATTAGCTGCTCACCCCCTCCCCCCCCGATCATGTCTCGACGCCCAGGGCTGCACCCCGGCGGGTGGGATGGAGGCTCCGGGCGCACTGGCGAGGGTGTGTGGCCCCGGCTGGTGCGGGTGTGAGAGGACATGAGTGAATCTGCCCAGGCTGCTAGCCCAGCTCGGCTCCAAGATGCCAGCCACAGCTGCCAGGCGTGGGGGCAGGAGGAATTCAGCACAGTGAGCTGCTAAAAGGGGGATGGGCATGGGGCGCTCAGATTCTGGCGTGGGGGAGTCAGGCCTGCGGTTCTTACATGTGGGGTGGGTGAGCTAGGTTTGAGGTCCTTAGATTATGGGGTTAGGCGGCAAGGCTGGGGGATGGGCCCGCACATTGTGGGATTGAGAGAGGGGAGGGATAGACCCTTAGATTCTGGTGTTGGGGTGAGGCCTGGGATGGGGAATGGGTCCTTTGATTAGGGGACTAGAGGGGATATGGGGCAAGGCTGGGGTGGGGGATGGGCCCTTAGATCTGGGGCTGGGGAGGATGGGGGTCTGGGGCGGGGACAAGGTTTTGCAGTGGTTTTGCAGTGAGGTTTGGGGGATTCTAGCTCTCGCTTCCCACCTTCCACAGCTGTTCTCTGTCCTGTTGCTACACACACACACACACCAGCCAGGCTGAGTGTAGGGTGACTGGTTTGGAGGGAGGGATGGGGAGACAGGGTGCAGGGTGTTTCACATAGGGTGACGTGGGGTGAGGTGGGGAGGAACGGGACTGGGGAGCAGAGCTGGATGCAGCCTGCGAAGGACAATCCTAAGCCGTCTCGCAACCCCTCCAGGGCTCCCCCGGTTTCCGATCCCTTTCTTTGATGTTCCCATCCATCCGGGGGCCAGCCGGCCCCACGCCTGCCATGCCCCATACCTCCAGGGTGTGCACCACGTAGGTGGGGTAGAGCAGCAGGAGGCCCGTGACCCCCTCGCCCTGGTAGTAGCGCTGCAGACTCAGGAAGAGGCGGTGCCAGTACCCTGTGGAGAACCCAGAGCCCACACAGTGTTTGCTGGCTGATGCCACCTGCCCCATCCTGCCCCCGGGCTAGTGCGGCCCCGGGCTCCTGCAGCTGCCTGCTTCTCCAGGCTGCAGGATCCCTCCTGCCCTTGCCCCCCGCCCAGTGCACTGTAAAGGGGTGGGGGAAGGGACCCCTGTGCGGCATGGCCCCAGGGCCCTGCCCCACTCAGAGCACCCATGGCATAGCAGCCTCTAGCAGTCAGAATGGGAACTCCTGAGCTGCCTGGGGCTGGTTGCAAACCAGTATCATGCATGTTGGTATCTCCGTGTTCCTCCGGGAGGCTGCATGTCGCCCTCCCTCACTGGGGACCTGGGATCGGCTCGCCCAGTGATGGGGGCCAGAGCCCCACCAGCCTGCACAGCAGCATCCATGTCTGCAGCGTGGCCCAAGCCATCCTTCCCTGGATCCCTGAGCGTCCAGCCTGGGCTCTCCATGCACACTGCCCTCTGGCAGGGCCGGAGTGAGGCAGGGGCGTGATGGGCCTGAGCCCAGGGCCCTCCCCCTGCCCCCATGGGCTGACATTAGACTCCCACTTGGCCTTTAAAAGAGAAATGATCATTTTTCTAGCCCACAAATGTGACCTGTGTCCCATGCATCTCAATGGGGTGCTAACTCTGACACCTGCTGCTCTGGGGGATCCCATCCCAGCAACAGCACCCCAGCAGATAACTCTGCACATGGGGAGCCCTCACTGCTGTCACTCCACCATGGCTGTGCTGGGGTGGGGGTGGGGGGTCATACACAGAAGGGTGGGTAGGAGGCCATGTCTTCCCTTCTCTGGCACAGCTTCCCAACCCTGTGGAGAAAGCGAGTGGTGCTCTGGGGAAGGCGCCAGCCCAGCCGCTGGCTCACATGACGGTGTCTCAAACACAGCATGTCACCTAGCCATTTGGTCGTAGGCAGCGCTGGCCAGACACTGCAATGCGGCGTGTGGTCGGGAGCTAGTGTGCACATGGCCCTTGTTCCATTTCAGGCCCCTCTGCCCTCCACTGATGTGTCTATTGAAGAAACAAGCTGAGGCGCTTACCTGCTAAATCCCGTTTGTCGGCCAGCTCCGGGGAGATCTTAGCCAGAAATACCAGCCTGTGCAGAAGCGATTTCTAGAGGGGAAGAGAGAGGCCAGCTGTAATTCAGGCCCTGTAAAGGAAGGTTGCTGCCAGCGCCAGGCAGAAGAGGAGGCACTGAGACGGAAGAAAGGAGAAATGAGAAGGGGACAGGAAATACCATGCCCTTGGGAGGGCTCCGGTGCTGCGTCCAGCGGGGGATGGACTTTGTGCCGCCCGGCTGGTTCTTAATGTTACAAATGAGCCGTCCTAGGCTGGTGTGTTAGAGCCACGTGTGGCTGTTGGACTGGCACATGTATTGTAAATGTCATGGGTGCTTGCGCTTGGGGATATGTAGTATCAGGGGATGGGATAGCTCAGTGGTTTGAGCATTGGCCTGCTAAACCCAGGGTTGTGAGTTCAATCCTTGAGGGGGCCATTTAGGGATCTGGGGCAAAAATCTAGGGATTGGGCCTGCTTTGAGCAGGGGGTTGGACTAGATGACTTCCTGAGGTCCCTTCCAACCCTGATATTCTATGATTCTATAACTCAGGGAGCTAGGACGTCCCTTCTGGTCCTAACGCTGCCCACTGTGTGCCCCTCTTCTCTGGGACACGCCCAACCAGTGCAATGGGACAGGATGGGCAGGTGAGCACATGGCCCTGGATTGGCTTTGCAGTATCATGGGGAAGGATCTTCTAAATGAATTGACGTCCCATGGCCTAGCTCCCAAATGGGCCTCTCCCCTAAGGCAAGGAGATCTTGGTCAGTTTCACAGGACCCGTGCCAGCTCCTCAGCGAGCATCCAAAGCATTGGGCTCCCAGTGCAGGATCCCCATGGAAATCATATGGGAGCTCCTACGATAGCTTGGAATGTGTCCAGAATGCTACCACTGCAGACAACAAATGTGTCCCCCTCCATGGCATCTCACCAGGCAGGCTGGGGGATCAGCACATGCCTTCCATCCCAGGAGGCAGTGCCCCAGGTCAGGCTGGGGTACCCGGGCGGGGGGGCCGCTGGCACTGTGGGAAGGAATGTTGCCCTGTTCCTCTCCTGTGAGATCTCCATCTCAGAGGGATCAAGTGGGCTAGCGCCTTTCCCCAGCACTCAACTCGTGCAGGAGGAACCCGGGCAACGGGCACGCAGCACTGCATCAGTGTGAATTTCCCCAGCAGAGAACAGAGGCACCATATGCTGAACCGCACCTTTGTCTGTGTGCATAGGGATGTACGGCTAGGATCCTTGAGTTTGATTTGCTCTATAACTAATCCATGAGGATCCTCAGGTCCAGGTTCCTGGTGGGAGCTGTGAGGCACTCAGCAGCATCTGACAAAACTGGCCATTCCGCCTGTGTCTGCCAAGAGCAGAGCATTCGCAACAAAACCACCACTGAGGGCTTCTGCTGACATTTCTGGCAAGCGCCTTCTCCTGGGGAAGGAGGCAGGAATGGAAAGGTCCTGGGGAGCATTCGGAGCCTGGGGAAGCTCGTGGCTGGACGCGCCTGTCTCAGAACATTAAAGTTCCCCCGTCAGGGGAAGGTGACTTGGCGGTGAAGAGGGTTGAAGATAAATTTCAGTTGATTCCTTTTTGGAATGGCTGAATAGAAACAGAGATGCTGTGAGCTGAACGAGAATACAGGTTTCAGAGTAGCAGCCGTGTTAGTCTGTATCCGCAAGAAGAACAGGAGTACTTGTGGCACCTTAGAGACTAACAAATTTATGCATCCGAAGAAGTGGGTTGTAGCCCACGAAAGCTTATGCTCTGATAAATTTGTTAGTCTCTAAGGTGCCACAAGTACTCCTGTTCTTCTGAACGAGAATAGTGCTCTTTGCATTACAGTGGTGCTTAGAGACCCTGACCAAGGGCAGGGTCCCCTAGTGCAAGGCGCTGCATATACCCATAGTGAGAGACACCCTCTTCCCCAGCAAGTTTACAGTCTAACCACACAAGCAGACCCAGGAAGTGGCGTTATTCCTGTTCTACAGATGGGGAACTGAAGCACAGAGCGATTAAGGTGCTCAACAATGACTCAGGGATTGAGCCACTGAACAGGAGCTGACCCCAGATGTGTCTGTTCCCCAGTCAGCTCTGAAAATCTCAACCTAAGTAACGTGCCAAAGGGCCACACGGGGAGTCAATGGCAGAGCCAGGAGCTGGACCCAGATGCCCCATGTCCCAGTCCAGCAGCAGCCCTTAGTTAGTGACTTTCTGCCCAAGAGAGCTGATCTCACACATGCTGTGCTGGATTGTTGCCTTGATAAGATGTAGCAGCAGGCAGTTAGTGATGATGGACTAACGGATTTCCTGTCCAACGCTTTCTTGTCCTGTGCACCCCTTGTTTTACCCGGACCGCACTGCGCAGTTGCTTTGCACTGGGGAAGTGAGAAAGTCCCTTTTGGAATGGTTGACGGTGATTTGATTTGCCATCTCGCCCTTGGAAATGGCCAGGTTACCCTAAAGAGGGTTGTGATTTCTCTACCTATTTAAAGGGCTGTAAAACTGAAGCTTTCCTGAGCTACCAAACATTTTCTGCACCCTTTGGGAGGCGACAGAAACGCAGTATGAACTGGGAAAGGGGATTTGAAAGAGGCTTGTTTGGATGCCAGTCAGAAAGCTCCCAGAGCTACTATCCAGGCAGCCCTAATGTGGCCACAAATAACCTGCTATTTGCAGAGGCCAGGTTCTGCTGTTACGCCTCTGCCCCTTACTCCCTGAGTAGCTCATAGTCTTCAGTGCAACTACTATGGAGTATGAGGAAGAGCGGCAGAAGCTGGGCTGTACAGAAGTTACAGACTCTAGGAGCTAGAGCTGAAAGGAGCTGCAGGGTTTGGGGCCTGAAAGATTCTAAGTTTCTAGACACAGATTCTCCCGCTAAAATCAAAGGACGCAGGAGCCTAAATACTTTTGTGGATCTGGACATGACTGAGTGGAGAAACTCCAAAGCACAGTTGACATAGCAATGCTGCCCAAGTCAGGGGCTCGGTGACAGCATGGGCCTCCCCTCCCCCAGTTACAGCAGGGTGAAAGGAGCAGTGCTGATGGGCTCTAACCATGTCCCTGTGCATAGATTGAAATGCTCTAGGACAGGGGTCGGCAACCTTTCAGAAGTGGTGTGCCGGGTCTTCATTTATTCACTCTCATTTAAGGTTTTGCGTGCCAGTAATACATTTTAACGTTTTTAGAAGGTCTCTTTCTATAAGTCTATAATATATAACTAAACTATTGTGGTATGTCAAGTAAATAAGGTTTTTAAAATGTTTAAGAAGCTTCATTTAAAATTAAATTAAAATGCAGAGCCCCCCGGACCGGTGGCCAGGACCCGGGCAGTGTGAGTGCCACTGAAAATCAGCTCGCGTGCCGCCTTTGGCATGCGTGCCATAGGTTGCCTACCCCTGTTCCGGGATCTGCAGCCTGCAGAAGCTCTGAGGTCTAACACACTCCTGTGCAGCATAGGAAGCCCCCCAGCCCTCCGTCGCTGGCAAGCTCAGCCTGCCCCACATGTGCCAGTAAAAGGAAGATCAAAGCCCTGATGTGGGGCGTTTACTGAGACCACATCGCACCAACCTCCCCACAGCTGTGTGGGCCGTCTCCCAACCTAGCTCTGCCCGTATTCCAGTCCATCCCCACACCGTGCGCTGGAGACTCAGGAGACACTGACCGTATCCTCCTTGGCAGGGGGGGCTCGCCTGCTGAGCATGTGCTGAAGGAGATTTGTCCGGACCTTCTTCTGTGGCGACTCCTTCGGTTTCGTCTGCCCCGCTTTCTCCCGACCAGCCATGCCCCCCCTCGCGCCCGTCCTCTGGCTGCACAGAAAAAGCACTAACGGCCCTCAAGCCAAATCCAGAATTGCTGCTTGGCCTCTTAGAAAGCAGCTCTTGCTGCCTGGAGGTCACAGTGCAGAGAGACGCGGGCGCTGACCAAGTACCACAGCCTGGAGTCCGTCACACTGGCTGGGAGCAAGGCAAGACTTTGGCCAGGCAGCAGCTGCGAGTTGACAAAAGGGTTTCGGTGTCTTAGCAGCAGAGCCCAGGCCCTTACCGTTTATCCCTTTTGTCTGCATTGTTTGCTGGCATTTTCCATTGGCGCGTTAGCTGGCAGGGGGCAGCGGTTGCTCAGGCAACACGTGGCATGTAGAGATCCATTCTTTCCTGAAGCCTTTGAGAGGTTCTGGGACGCCGAGGGCTTTGTGACAGCTGGGCTGTTAGCTGAGCCTCCCTTCGGGTAAGGAGCAGGGCACAGCAGGAGGTATGGCCACACCTAGCTCTGTTCCCTAGCAGGTGTTTTTACTGCTGCCTCTTGAGCACCAGGCTTTAATTTGCAGGTGAAGGCCGGGGGGCTGAGCAGTGGAGATCCCCCAGCCTGGGCAGCACGGGTGAGTGACAGGAGCTAGACCTGGCTCCTCATTTAGCTCAGTTTCCCCACTTTGCAGATTTCCCTTTCAGGTGGCCGGCTCAGGAGTTAGAAGGGCTGGGGAGTTGGGGTGGGTTAGGGGAAGGCAGGGTCCCCGCCTTTGGGGCTGCCTGCGTGGGTCAGTATGACATTGAGCTCCCGCGGAGTCAAACCGCAGGACGTCAGCGTGCGCCAGGGAACGCTGAGCGTGCGGCAGCAGGGCCCACGCGGGCAGGCTGCAGCGCTGGAGGACCATGCCCCAGCTTGCTGTGCACCAAGTGCTCATGCAGGCCTGCCGAGCGGGGCTGTACCATGGCCTCTGTGGATCCGGGCCAGAAGGGGCCGGGTGCCAGGCACCGGGTGCTGCGTTGTGTTCCAGACCCCACAAGCCATGCAACGTGGCCTATCTCACTCCCTTTGCTGCAAAGCTCATGGGGTCCCTCAGGCTGCAGCACGGTCCCTAAAGGGGAGACGCTTTGTCCCTGCAGCCCTCGGCCCTGTCCCCCAGGCTCTTGGCATCCAAGTGTTTCCTCACAGAGGGCCCCCCCCCCCACGATAGGAGCTCTGCACGGATCCCCACGGGAGGCTTCCTCCAAAGTCTTCACTCCGGGGCGGGGTTTGACCCTTCCACTGCCAGGAAAGAAGCCAAGGGTTTGGCCCATCCGCTGCCCAATGGTGCCTCCTGGGCCAGGGCTGCACTGACAGGGATTCCCCTGCCATGGGCTGCCTCAGCACAGTGGAGTAGCCCAGGGTAACCCGAGTCTGTCCATTCCACGGCTGGGGAATGTGGAGTTTTGCTGAGGGCAGTTTAACCGCCTGTCTTTTTACCACGACACCACTGCCCCAGCACCCCGTCCCGCTGAAGGAAGGGGCGGGCTGGAAAGTTAATGTAGCCACTGCTTGCCAAGGGGGATGCATTTCTAGCACAGGCTCCCCCACCCCTCCAGAGCCCTGCACCCAACCTCGGCAAGCTCAGGCTGGGAGGGAAAGGACGGGGGACAGAGAGAACTCCCAGCGGGGGGATCCTGAGGAGACACTGGCCGTGGACGCAGGAGATAGTTAATACTTAGTACAGAGAGTATGGGGGGAGCTAGGCCTGGAGGTGAGCCCAAGCGTTGGCCGGTATGTGGCCTGTTTGGCCCCTGGCCCAGAAGGCACAAGGCCTGGCTGATGGGCAGAGCGGTGGAATTTGCTGGGTCTGATTGCATTGATTTCTTTGATGCTGCCCGCCAGCACAGCCCATGGAAAGCCCTTTGCAAACTGCCCTGCCCCTTCAGTGACCCCATTGTCTTGCCCTCAAACACGCAGGCCTGGCCTGGCCCTCTGCTGTCCCATGTTCAGGGGTGCGTTGTGACCCCTTTCTCCCAGTGTTCCTCGGTGGCCATTTCCCATCTCTCCCCACCAGCCCACTCTCCTGCTGAAAGGCCCCCTGCCTCATAAGAGCAGCCATGCCAGGTCAGACCAGTGGTCCAGCTAGCTCAGTATCCTGTCTTCTGACAGTAGCCAATGCCAGATGCTTCAGAGCTAATGACCAGAACAGGGCAATTATCGAGTGATCCATCCCATTATCCAGTCCCAGCTTCTGGCAGTCAGAGGTTTAGAGCCACCCAGAGCATGGGATTGGGTCCCTGACCATCCTGGCTAATAGCCATTGCTGGACTTATCCTCCAGGAACTTATCTAGTTCTTTTTTGAACCCTGTTATAGTCTTGGCCTTCATAACATCCCTTGGCAATGAGTTCCACAGGTTGGCTGTGTGTTGTGTGAAGAAATACTTCCTTTTGTTTGTTTTAAACTTGCTGACTATTAATGTCATTAGATGATCCTGATTCTTGTGTTATGTGAAGGAGTAAATAACACTTCCTTATTTACTTTCTCCCTGCCAGCAGCCTTCTTTCAGCTACTGCAAGCTGGTTGGATCCCCCATTTAAAGCACATGGGCACTGCTCCTAGATCAGCCTGTACTCCTGGCTGGGCATGACCCATGTTGCTTTCCCCCTTCCCTCAGTCTCTGGCCCCTTTGCTGCCACCCTATGAAAAGCTTATTGTCAGTTTGTGGGGTGATGATGTCACAAGGTAAGTCAACCAATCATCACCCTTCCCTCTCCCTATTGGACTGTGATGTGATGTCAGAGGTGAGTCGACCAATCACCCATTCCTCTGCCTGCCCCCTTCCCACTGGAATGTGACATCAAAGGCACATCAGCCAATCACCGCCTACCTTCTCCCACTGCCATTCATTTGCATATTGTAATGTGATTGGTTAAAATGTCTTTTCCCTGAATATGTCCTGTTCTGAATTAACAGCCTAGCCTTTGATGGCCTCCTTTGAGGTGTGCAGGGCCTGGCAGCTGGCCTGCTCCCTGGCATGAGCTCAGACATGCAGCATTTGGTCACTGTCTTGGGAACATCTGGGGGACTCATGTCATTGCAATACAGGGAGTGTGTGGGTATTTCACAGCACGTGTTGCAGTCCTAGCCGCTGTTGCTCACTCTGGTTTTTCTCCCTCTACGAGGCCAGCGCAGACCTTTAATTTGGAGCCTGCAGAGACGTTTGTATCCCATAGGGCCAGTTTCCTGCTTTCCTAGGACCTGACACCACAGCCTGCCGCTGGCCTTCCATGCAGGCCAGAACCATCCCGTTTGCCTGAACGTCACACCAAACAGGCCCAGCTGGCTGTTCACGCCCCCATGCTGGGGTCCTGTGGCTGCGCTGCTGGGCCTTGGCCACACACACACAGAATGGTTTTTAAAGCAAAGCCCCCCTCCCCCCCCCCCCGCCCCCAGTCAAAGAGCCCAGTGAGTGAGAGCGGGTTGCAGCGGGATTGAACCGAGGGACAGGGATGGCTCAAACCCAGTGAAGAATGACGCCCACCCCACCCCCCCGCTACACACAAACCTTTCGGATCGCCTTCTGCTGCTCCTGCGCCAGCCCATACACTGAGAGCCTGGCCTTGAAAGTAAACTCTTCCAGCTCATACTGGACGCTCGGGGCTCGCTTTGTCCTGGATGCCATGGCTGCAAACTGCGGCTGTTGCTTAGTGACTGTGTCATGATAACAAAGGGGCCTGGGGAGCTTTGCCAAGGGCCCGCCCACTGCAGCCCGGTGGCACCACGGCGCTGCTGGTGTGCATGCCTCGCTGTTCGAAGGGGAATGCAGGGCACAGGGACCGTGGCTGTGGGGGCCTAAGCCAAAGCCCATGGCCATCCAGGGGACCCTTTCCCATGGGGAGAGGGATGGCCGGGGTGCAGTGCAGCATGTGGGTAAAAATAAATCCTGTGAGGCATTTTAGTTTAAAGGAAAAGTGTCTGTCTGATGGCCCTGTGGAGTCACCGATCCTTTGCGCAGCAGGGGCAGTGCCTGGGCAGGCTCCCCCGCCCATGTGCTGCAGCCCTGCTCACTGATAGGGTTAGATCAGGCTTCAGCGCCCGTGGGAACCTTGGCCTCTCTGCCCAGTTGGCCTGGCCCAGTGGTTAGGGAGCTAACAGGACTGGAGCAAAGCTGGGGTCAGTTTCTGGCTCCATCACTGACTGTCCCTAAGGGCTTGGGGAAGTCACTGGAATGTGTCCCCAGCCTGCATAATGGGGATCGCACTGCGCTAGCTGACAGGGCGCTGGGCGGTGACTCGCGTGGGAGGGCAGGGCGCACTCAGATGCGGCAGTAAATAGGGGCTAAGCGCCGGCGCTCGCTGCTCCACAGACAGCCTGCAGCTGGTTATGGCTTTTAGTCACGGCTGCCCTGCACTGGCCTCAAACTGCCCACCCTAGAGCTAGGTGGGGCTGAATGCCATTACCAGCCCCCTGCCCGAGGCTGCTGCGGGCCTGTCCCCACCTGAGAAGTGCAGGGTCTCAGTTGGTACCTTCCTGGCGCTCAGCGCCCTGGGCCTAGTGTATGGCATTGCTCCAGCGTGATGTTTGTGGGTGACACCACCACTCCCCGGGCCCTGTGGACTCTTCCACAGGGACCAAGCCTGTCCAGGCGGGAGCCAGAGCTTCCCAGAGACCAGCCCAAGGCTGTGGCTGGAACTGGCCCAGGAATTGGGGCCCAGCCCAAACCGCCCCACCAAGTGCCAGGCATCCCTCTCTCAATAGAGTGTAGTGTGGCCAAAGGCAACCAGCCCACCGCCCTGCCCACACACACTCCGCCAAGGGGCACAATGAGACGCAGCTTCTGCTTCTGAGGGACGCGAGCCGCTCACCCACCTGTGCCACCCACTGCCTCAGCCGGGCTGGCCGGCACACACTGGGCAGCTACTCCCCCCCCTCCCCCCGGAATTCAAAATGGGGCTAAAGTTGTCGCGACTCCCCCCCCCCCCCCCGCCCCCCCCCCCCCCTCCCACCCCCATTGCTCCCTGAGCCCCCCATCCAGCCTGCCTGCCCCCACGCCCAACCGCTCCCTGAACCCCCTCATCCGTCCCCTGCCTGCCCCCAACCCATCACTGAGTCCCACATCCATCACCTGCCTGCCCCATCCAACCCCCACATTGCTCCCGGAGACCCCATCTATGACCTGCCTGTCCCCCAACCCTGCCCCTCACTCCCTGAGCACCCCAAGCCACACCCCTATCGCTCCCTATCCATCCCCTGCCTGCCCCGTCCAACCTCCATCTCTCCCTGAGCCCCCGCATCCATCCCCTGCCTGCCCTCCAGCCCCCAAACCCCCATCACTCGGAGCCCCCCATCCATTCCCTGCCTACCCCATCTCCCTCAGCCCCCCATCCATCTCCAGCCCTCAACTCCCCATCTTGTCCTGAGCTCCCCATCCATCTCCTGCCTGCCCTCCAGCCCCCCCCCCCCCCCCCCC